GTTCTCCTCTCTCTCTCTCTCTCTCTCTCTCTCTCTCTCTCTCTCTCTCTCTCTCAATGAGGTTATCTACGATGAAGTAGTTAAAGATATCAAAATCAGAATCAAAATTCATAACCCAATTTACCAAGCAAGAAAGTATCACTCAAGTAACAACTATATGGTGCGTGTGATTGTTATTAGATCTTGGAATGTTGTGTAAGCTTTCCTCATATTTGCTGGCCTACTTGCAATTGAACTTCAACCATCCTTTAGTTTATTAAAATAGTGTGACGGGCCTACTTGTAAATGAAAGCAGGTTCTAGTGCACAATGTCTATTATTTAAGAACATAATGGTTAAAATTTCTTACTTTAACTATGGGATGTTAACTGGTGTGAATGGTTATTGGGCTGTTGGTTTTGATGATTGTGTGAATAGTTATTGGGTTCTTGCTTTTGATGATTGTGTGATAGTGTCATTCACAAAATTGTGTTCTACTTGGGCGTAGGTGGGAAGATGGCACTTTCATCTACAAGACTACATAATATTAGAGCCAACAACATCTAACTTCGAGTCACGGATCAAGTTATTAGAGAATCAACGATATTTGACTGTTCATGGGAATTCTGAAGAGCGTGTAATCATAGTTATATTAGCTCTGAGTTTAGTGATTCATATTGTATATTTCTTTCTCCTTATAAAAAAAGAGTAAGGTGTACTTCTCAATCTTACATGTATATTTCTTTCTCCTCGTAAAAAAGGAGTAAGCATGCAATCATAGTAATGTGTACACCTCAATCTTAATATACTTCTATTTGGATCAAAGGAAATTTTATTAGATGTTGTTCTTTCCATTTCTCTTTCAGGATTAGCTGCTTGATAATGCTGGGTTGACCCAAGTCTTTGGGTGCCTAAAATTATTTTCAGAAATATTGGTTAAAATGTAAGTGGATATCAGTTGATTCGAAAAGACATTAAACCATGTCATAAACATGCCTTATAAAATGTTACAGTTTATTGGACACTTTATATGTGGCACTGCAGATTTCATTCAAATCAATTACTTTAATCTCATTCGAATTAAATAAGAATTTGCAGGATTTGTGCATGGCCTCACCCCTTGCAAATTTAGCCTCAAATCTCGTATGAATTAAAATCCAATTGATGGGCCTTATATAGGTTTACAGTTTGTTGGAAACCATGCGACTAAAAATCGTATTCGCATTAAATAAGTATTTGCATGATTTGTATATGGCCACACCCCTTGAAAATTTAGCCTCAAATCTCATCCGAATTAAAATTCAATTGTTGGGTTGAGTGAGAATGATGGAGAGAGAGTATGAGAGAGTTTAAAAGGAATTAAAATCAAACATGTGGTTTCTAACCCATGGCACCTTCAGCCCAAAAGTGAAAAAAAGAATGACTTAAAAGGAATTTTCCCAAATTTGAAAAAATGGAAAGGAATTTCCCAAACATGATACCCTTGACTATACCAGACAGAATTTGGAAGTCTTTAAGTCCATCAAAATAAGACTATGAATCTATGACATAGAAGTAAACGAATTAAGAATCCTACAACAAAAGACATCCCCACAAGAAGTGAACATTATTGCACTATATTTTACCATTGAACTTCATCTTGAAACGACCGATTGCATTGTTCATTCCATAAACTGAAATTTAAAAACACATTTATATTTATTGATTTGAATGCAGCAATTTTGGCACTTCCCTTGATGCTCAAGTGTTAATAATCTCGGACCGAATCTTCCTCTCTTCAAAACAATCTCTTCACTGGCTGAACCCCTCTGTCTTCGTGAATCATTTATCTGCATTAAAATTCAGTAGCATCTTAATACAGTTTTTAACCCTTGTAAGTTCTTTATAAAAAAAAATTTGTTTTAAGTGAGAACAATTATAGAAAATCAAAGAAGCTTCATTTAAGAGAGATTGCTGCAAAAAACTAAAAGATAACAATAACTCAGGTCTAAAGTTTGTACAAATTCATAACACAATGCCTCCAGGAAAATAGCGTGCATACCATTAAATCATTGAAATAAACAAACACCTATGAAATGTACAAGCATTTTTCAGAATACTAAAGAAATGCAAATTCAAACCATAATAGTCCCTAGAAGCATTATTTGATTCCGCCAAAACACCAAGGTTAATTACAAAAAAACCAAACCAATTTGAACAAGACATCGATTCTAATGGTAGAGCTTTAAATTTCATAATTATGGAAGAACGTTTTGGTACCAGAACTACATATTCCTTTAAGACAATAATTTGCACACAAAATGGCAAAATAATTGCATGTTATCAAGCTTACTGTAGAGAGAGAGAGAGAGACCCATGTCTGGGCAAGAGAGAGACCTTTGGGCTGCCCCAAATTGAGAGAAAGAGAGGGACCCCTTGGGGCTGCCCTAACTTGAGAGAAAGAGAGAGACCCCTTGAGGCTGCCTTAAAATGAGAGAGAGACCCCTTGGGTCAGTGCCCTAAGAAAGAAGAGAGAGAGAGAGAGAGAGAGAGAAAGAACCAAAGCAGGGAGAGAACCAGAGAGATAGAGAGCCCCCTTGGGCCACCCCAAATTGAGAGAAAGAGAGGGCCAATGCCTAACACAGAGAGAGAGAGAGAACCAGAGCAAAAAAAGAACCAGAGAGAGAGGGCCAGTGCCCTATTCGAGAGAGAGAGACAGAGAGAGAGAGAACCAGAGCCTAGAGAGGGAGAACCAGAGCCCTAAGAGAGGGAGAACCAGAGCCCTAATCGAGAGAGAGAGAGAGAGAGATAAACCAGAGCAGAAAGAGAACCATAGAGAGGGCTAGCGCCAAGAGCGAAGAGAGGAGAGAGAGAGAATCAGAGAGAGAGA